TTGTTCAGCAGTTAGTCGAATAAACAATCCGGGCTCTTCTAATTTGAAAGTGATAGAAATTCTTAATTATAATACTTTTTCTAGTGATTTGAAACAGATCTTACCTTTAAGATTCTGCTTTGATTTTCCATATCATCTGTCAGAATGATGAAAGAAATAGAAGATCAGTGCCATTGAATTTCAACAAAACAGCAATATGAGAGTTAAAACTCACGTTTATTAGTCTCAGATAGTTTTCAGTTCACAACTGAATTTGGATCGTCAGTGTAAAGCTACAAGGATATTGTCACGGATAAAATTCCTTTATCCATGCTATTTATTTGTGATATGTTATTGTGTTATTTTCAACTTTATTTTTTTTAATGATACTGTATCATTGACTTAACAAGAAAACACTACTTAAAAAAAGCATGTAGATGTTGCTACTGTTTAGTAATGCCTTTCCTGTTTTTGTTTTGTTCTCATTTATTGTCATTTGCACCAAAATTTTTAGCTAATAAACCGTCTCTTAATGCCATTCGTGTAATGGAATCATCAGATTCACCTAGACGAAGAAGATAAAACAAACATAAGAGAATTGATTTCATAGTGAAAGTGTCGAAGAACTCACCCATCATTCGAATTGATCCACAAATTGCATATGTTCTTGATTTTCCCGTTATACGACCGGTTTGTTCATCAATATCGGCAATATCAAGTTGAATGGCTGCATGATCTTTAGCAGCTATAATTGTATTTGATGCTGAGCATTTTCGTGGAATGTATAATTCAACTTGTGTATCAACACCTTCAACTTCCATTGTTATTCTTCTTGATTTGAATTTAGAGAGAGAGAGAAAGAGAGAATCTAAAAGATGAAAAAAATAAGGAATAATTGTCAGAGATAAATCCAATTCTGAGTTTCTTATGTTCTACTGTAACTGTCGACACAGGTTTTAAATAATCTGAAGTTAACTTTTTCTGCGTTTCTATCACGACGAATTGATGTTCATTTCAATAAATACGCAGAAAATATTAAAAAGCCTGATATAAGAAGATTGAACAATTAATGAGTAAGAACGGCAAATAAAACTTTTGAATGACATATTTCTAGTCTGTTTTTGCTCGTATAGTGCGCATTGTTTTAAACACATTCACATTAGTCTACACTCTTCTGAACAGTGAGAAAAGCAGCGTGAGCTACTTAACAATGCCAACTCTTCTTCAAAAACACTCTCATACACAAAAAAATGACTCATTTAAATGAGTTCATACTGGGTGACCCATAAATAATGGGGCAAATTCTGTTTCTGAAGTACTTAAAAGTAATTCTAAGATTTGGATCTGAACTCATTCGATAGAGAATTCATTGGTCTACAAAATTATTGGTTTAGTTTTTTAAAAAGTTTCTTCTTTTCACTGTAAAATCTTGAACTTTAAGATGTGTTCAATGTTTCCACTGCGATCTTTGGTTTTCTACAGATTTCTTTTTCAACTTCTAAAAATGAATTTCATTAATTTCATCTTTTGTGTTCTGTGCTCTATTATTCTAGGCCACTTAAAAGGTTACGAATGTTGTAGTGCAGGAGAAAAAGGCTAAGAACCCAACTCTAGTAGTATTTTTGAACGGGCTTCGAAATTAACTGATTTACAAAGCCAAACATGGTTCTGAAGGATTTATTTTTATGTCACCAGAATCAGAATTAAATTTTGAACAAAATGGTGTTACTCTTAAGGAGAATCTCAGAAACTTTTAATTAAAGAAAAACAAAGGCATAGTTTGTGAAGAAAAGCGAATGTTTCGATGTTTCTATTCCCTTTAAACTTTTTGTTGTAAAAGTTTTTATTAAAATTCTGAAACCTATGTTTAAAAGAAATGTAGAATATTATGGAGAATTTTTTAACACATTTGGAGTTAGAGGTGTTAAAGGTGTTTGCATCATTGTTTTCTTTTTTTTGGTTATCACAGTTGAAACATTGTGCACGTCTTGAAGTTCAAGATTTTACGGTGAGACAAAGATTCTTTTTAAAAAACCAAATCGATAATTTTGTAGATGAATGAATTCTCTATCGAATGAGTTCAGATCAAAATCTTAGAATTACTTTTAAGTATTTCAAAAACACAAAAAGATTTTGTCCCATTATTTATGGGCCATTCGGCACATTCTTTTGAATGGGTAACATGTTGAGACATATGATTTATATGTTGATACAAAAGAAAAAAAATCATTACCTTTGTTTTTGTTACAATAGGAATAAAAAGCATGAAATTATTGATCGATCAACGATATAATTCCTTTATATCTGTTTTTCAATCGTTTAGATCTAAAACAGCTATAAACAATTTTCCAGCATACCGTTTTATTCCTGTTCATTTTATTGTCTACTATACATTCATAAAATGATTTGTGCATACCCAGTAATTCTCAAATAATAAATGACTCAAAACTATTCGTATGAGAAAACTACACATGAGCAGATTATGCACGTAATAACAAATTCTTATTTATACATCAAAAAAGATATTTAATAGACAACAAGGAGGAAAATAGACTACTATCCATTTCAATGAACAGTGCACTCGGTTGTAAGTTGAATAACTTCAGAACGAAAGGAGCCTGAGACTTGCAGTTTTCAGCATTCGAAAGACAGTCGTATTTTTTATATGGACATGTCAAATCTTGGAATCAGGAGAATTCTTGGTGAACATTTTAAAAACAATATGCCGAAGGCATTTACCTTTGGG